GTCGTTGGTCTCCCAGCCGTACCTTCCAGCACGCTAGGACTGCACCACCTAGGCCGGGCAGGTTTCCTGAATCTTGCAGTGGTGTGCAATGGCACTTTGCTGAGCCTCCTTCCAGTAGACACGTCCGGGTGGGGGCTCTCAGCTAAGAGGGACATGTTCCTGACCTATTTCACGCTGGTGTCAGTGACACTGCCAGGTGTCCGTCAGTGTGACTGACATGGGACATGCCCAACTTTCTGGAGGCCAGCAGCCTCCTGAGGCCCCTCCTGCTGGGGATGCCACACCCCCCCATCCTGTGCCCCAGAGGACAGCTCCCGTGGCTCGAGCACCCCGAGGACGAGAGGGACAAAGGCATGCGTGTGTTGAGGGGCGTGCTCATCTCGGAGCCCCGCACCGGGCGCTCTGGTCAACGGAGACTCGCAGGCTCCAAGAGAGCAGTGAGCCGCCTGGAGAAGGTCGCCGGCAGGCCAGGCCGGGGCCTAGGGGCCGGGAATCCTCCTCGCCTGGACACCTTTTACTCCTGCAGCTGATTCTCTTATTTTGGGCTTCTTCCTTCCTTTCATGAGAGCGAGAAAGACAAGCCCCCTCCACAGGGACTCATGCTGTGCTCTTCCCCCAGCCCCACGGCCAGCCTGGACCGCAGGCACGCATGGGCCTGGCGTGTGCAGGGGGGACTCCCAACACTCTGTGTGGGTCCTGCACCGCGGAGAGGCCTGTACACTGAGCCACTGCAGTGCCATGGCTCGACTCCTACTGCCCAGCGAGGGCATCTCCGGCATGCCTGGGGATCCATCTGACCTTACTGGGACACAGACCCAGGGTCCCCTGCCAGAAGCCCTGAGGTGGCAGATGTGTGAGTCACAGGCTAGATGGTGGGCACATGGGCATGCCCTGGGGCTGCTCCTAGCCAGGGCCAGGCCTCGCTCACACCCGCACAGCCTCTGCCCACCCACCACCATCCAGACACGAGGCCTCTCCATGGTCATGTTTATTAAAGACTTAGAAACGCGGGCATCACAGTTTGTTGTCACTGTCAACTCTTCCGAAATCACACGCTGACATCTGCGTGTAACAAAAACATCATGTGTGTGTGAACTGTGCAAATACGAAGGCGTTCCCAGCCAGCCTGCTGCGCCGGCGTGGGGCACTGCCAGGCACGCACTGTACCGAGACAGCGCCCGTGCCTGCCGCCCCATCGCCTCCCTCGGCTTCCCGGCCCTCTCAGGCCTGCTGTCCCGTCTCCAGCACGGCTGGGACTCTACTGTGCTCTCAGGTAGTCACTCTGGCCTTGTCTCTCCCCTGCCCTGCATGACACGGCAGGTCTGCAGGGAATGCAAGGGATTCAGACAAGTGTGGGTTTCCTCTTTGTGACCAAAATGTGTGTGTCTTTAGTGGCAAGGTGACCCAAGAGGGGGCTCACCCTGCTCCAGGATTGTCTGTGGGCTCCACTGTCCAAAGGTGGAAGGTTATGAATCATTCACAATTGGCCAGCACCACTGGCCACACACCTGCTGCTGCAGCCTGGAGTCCCCTCCAGCAGAGAAGACCCCGGCCTGGCCAGACACTCGGCATTGGGTCCTCCCCAGGGCAGAGCCAATGCCTAGCCCGGACTGTGAGCAGTGGGGTCTGCAGATGACCAGAATGCGCCGGCACCCGTCCCCATCCTGGGCTGGGAGGTGGGGCGTGGCCTGTGGCGGCCTGTCACCACCATGGGTGTTGAGCACATTCCCACAACAGCCACCACCTCGAGGGGGGCTGGGAGCAGAAAGGAGACCCTCTACTGGCTCACAGCTACCCTTGTCTCTATTACCTGGAGGCCCGGTTAGTCCTGGTCTTGCCAGAGAACAGCTGTCTCGCCCTAGTGTAACCCATGCCCTTTTGGTGACAGCAGGAACTTGGACACGCACAAGCTTTGTGTGCACGGCAGGCCGCTGCAGGACAAGAACAGAGAAGAGCCAGGTCGGCCGCCACAGCCCAGCACACAGGGCCCCACGTCTAAACCAGACCTCTCTCCTCGACTCAGAGCGGGTTTCTTGAGGGAGGAAAAGAGCCTCTCTAGCCACGATCCCTCCAGTGCGCAAGCCACCTGGCAGTGACAAACAGCCATGGCGCATCCCCAAATAGGACTCTGAAAATAAGCCACGGTACATCGAAGTCTTCGTGCCATGCGAGAGAATGTGCTTCTGGAATTTGCTGCGTCCCTGAACACCGGGGCGCCCTGCGCTACCAGAGGTCAGTTGATTCAGCCTAACTTAAATCGGAGTGGTTTCTGTAAAAACACACGCAGAGAAGGGTGACAAAACACGACGCTGAGGGGCCCAGGGTGTGGGACCAGGGTGTACCCGAGGGCGTGGGTCTCAAGCACACATCTCGTGCCGAGGCCCCCTAGGTGGTTTTCGTGGGAAGCGAGCTGTCCTTCACGCCTGCTCTCTGTCAAGCCTACACAGGGGCCGGCCCCTGGACAAAGCCACCCCTCCCTCCTGTCCCTGCCCACCCAGGACCCTGCGAGCCCACAGCAGTGCACCACCCGCTGCTCTGTGTGCACCTCGGTCTCTAGGCCTGACGTGGGAGCGCTGATTTAGTTTTTAAAAAGAAGAAAAATAACCTTTGCAGGGTGGCGATCTGAACTGTGGTCAACACTGCACAGTTAGATGGCGAGAAATCCTATTTCGAGAACACTAATTGCGGTCGTTCTGTCTGAAGCAATGAAAGGCCGATTCTGGCTTCCTAGGCTGGGGTCACCCTGGGAGTCCTCTCCACCGCCACACCAAAGCGCAATTAGAGTGGCCCTTCCTCCGAACGCCTCCAGCGCTGGGACGATCACTCTCTCTGTCTAGACAGAGCATGCGGTTCTGGTAAGGGCTGAAAGAAAACGGGCTGCTTCCAAACTCCCGCCAGGCACGCACGCTCTGCTCTGGGCTGCCCCGGCTGGCCTTTCGGCGCTCGCCCAGTTTCATATGGCAAATATCAAAGCTCAGCCCCTTTGATGTCGACTCAGACGTTTTCTTTCAAGCTCAACCAAGTCATTACTAGTTTTACAAAAAGGCAGCACCAGATGTATGAAGACAGGCAACGCCTGACCGTTGGAAATATGTAAGGTCTAACGGCTTTACGTTAAAAAGATGGTAAGAAGGAGGCGATGCCAAGTGACAGCGGCCAGGCCCAAAGTGCGTGTAGAGCCCCAGCAGGGGACGGAGCCACGCGGGCTGCTCTGGTGGCCGCGGGAGCTGTGCGGTGGCTGCCCGAGGGCCCCAGGCCAGGTGAGGTCCCTGGACCACGGAGCAGCCTCGCTGAGCAGCCAGGTGGCAATGACTGAGGTAACTAGAGAGGTGACGGGGAAGGTGGGCCCCACAGGAGCCAGGCTGCCTGGAAATGCTTCCTCCAACGCCCTGGCTCCCTGCCCGCCAGCCCAGCCGCTCCTCTGCGATGTCCAGGCTTACAGGGGTGGCAAGAGGGCTGCAGCCGGCTGCAGGCCACGGCCACGGCTCTGCCTGCATGGTGTCTTCACAGGGTGTTCCTGGGCAGTGTACACAGAGGGTGGGCACGCGGGAGCCACCTCAGGTGCCCGTGTGGGGTGTCGGGCGAAGGCAGAAGCCACATCCACAGCCCCCAGCCCCCTCTTGGTCCAGGGTGTCCCCTGCCAGGCACCTGGGGGACCTGGGACCCTCGGGGCACTCACGGCTCCCTCTCCTCATGCCAGGGGGCACCCAGGGAGGCTTTGTCCTCGTGAGCAGGCGCGAGAGCACAGTCTCAGAAGCTCTCTACGAAGCTGCCCGGGAAGAGACCGGTGCGGCCGGTGCGCTGCAGGGTCCCCTTGTACCAGCCGTCTTCCCGCTTCTTGTGCACAAAGACGATGTCGCCCTCCTTGAGCTCGATCTCCGCCTCACTCTGGGGAGGGTACGAGACCACCACGCGGTACCTGCGGGGAGAGATCCACGGGTGAGCCCTCCCGGCCGGCTGGCCACCCGCCAGAGCCGCTGTTTCCCTTCTCGTCCCTCAGGCAAATGATTGCAATTGGGGATCCTCATTCCGCTCCATGCAACTTCTACTGACCTGCAATTTTTCCAAAGCTCTTTTTCGTTTTTCAATTTTTATCAAAACCTATTGGAAAGAGATCTCCCCTTGGTGTCTGCTTAGCCACTGGTCCACGGCATACCTGGAAGGCTCCCTCTCCTTGATCGG